TACGCGCCGCAGGCCGAGCCCGACCCATCGTAGGTAGGGTACAGGGCTCGTATATTAATAAACGTAGTGACGTGCAGCTCTTAAGCAACAGCTCAAGATCGCAAATGTGACCTATTCTATTAAGCACGGTGTTCCGTTACTTGAATTGCTCTTACTCAAGATGCCGATGATTGTAAACTAATATTGCAGGAGAACTTCGACATTCGAGTAGTCACTGAACGATAAATATAGTAGAAGTGCTTATTTGTGTGGCACGTGTGCCAATGTACGCGAAGTTTCATATACTTAAGCTCGGTCTGCAATTTACGCTTTGTACGATATAGTCGTGTCAAATATCTCAAGTAATTTTCTGTTTATCGTAATATTTTTCGAAACGAAAGTAAACCTTATATAAAGTTTAAATTCTATTTTGTTATTCGTTTTTAAATTAGGAACTACGACCAATCAATATCGAGTTTTCATAATGTTTCAAATTATCTTCTTCTTCTTCTTTTAAATGTTATGGCCCCATCGAAATAATCAATGATTTTGCCAATGTCAAGTAAAAATAACTATGTACGGTAGTTTAACATTATTATAAAAATTATACGAAAAAAAAAATGGCGATTTCGCCAATGTCCGAATGTGCGAGTTTTAGCGACATCGGTTCTGACAGTAATCGAGGCGTGGGGCACTTGTTTTGTTTTTTTTTCTTCCGTCGTAGTGGTATATCAGCCGATATGCACAGGAGCAATTTATTAAACGGACTTTTAATACTTACGTCAACTAATCAAATGATTACAAAACCGTCAATACCAGTTAAATATTAACTGTGTAGTGACACTATTGACTATCTAGTTGGCTATTTTTTTTTATGATACCCAGTGAGGAGTGCCTGGTTTTAATCGACACGCCTTTAAATCGCAAAGCTTTGACGGGCACTGCCACTGCGCCCGTCACCCTGAGACAACTCCCATGTGCCTATAATTTCACCAACACCGTTATCCTTCAAAACCGGAACACATTAATAACCACATTGCCGCTTTGCGGCAGAAATGGGTAAGCGGCAGTACTTCCCTGGACGAACTCTTCCACAAGTAGATTAGAGCTACTTGTGGAAGAGTTCGTAAAACTAAAATATGCTACTATAAGCACATGATTGTAAAGGAATTGTTCTTATTATGTATAGGCGCCCTCACATATCTATATACGAATATGATGTGAAAACCCAATGGGAAAAGGCTTTTTTCTCAATTGAGTGGTCGAAGTTTCGAATCCTACGTTTCGAATTTTTAGTAGCAATACCTCTCGCTAAGGGTAAAGGTAAACATTGTGATGAAACGTACCTATCGAAGTAGATTTACCACCACTAAAATACGTGTAAACTCCCCATTCGACGCTGGTCGAGTTTACACAAGGACTTATGGCCTTGAACCCTCTCCTTGTAGTCTACAATGAGTTGATGTCAAGTGACGAAATTAACAAGTCGTGTCCATAACAATTGCAGTGCCCCTCAGAGCTTCGCAAAAATCTGAACTCTTTCACAATAAGCTCTACTGTCACTTACTCTTATTAATCCTTACAAAGCTAAAATTTGCGTTTAAAACGATATTAAGTAAAAAAAACTTTAAGTTAAGAGGAATTATCACTTCAACGTCGATATTTACCGGAGTACATCTCTATCATACGATAGCTGTTGAATGGGACAGTAGAGCGTGGTGACGAGTGGTTTCCGCCGTTGTCATATCAACACAATGAAATCCCGCAACAGTATTGCCAAATTCAGCTCGAAACTGTATTGCTTTGCAACGGTATTGGTAAGGTTTTGTACTATTGGGTTTTATATATGGTGTACGCTGTTGTCTATCTGTTTTAAATAATAGGAAAAATAGGTCTTATTTTGATAAAGTTAAGGGTACATTAAGTTTGACACTTTGGACCGTTCTAATCGCAAGCGGCATAACTTGAATTAAAATCTTAATTATATAATTAATACGATCTAGGAATAGAAAGTAATTTTTGTTACTTTCCTCAAAGTTCACAGAGACATCGCATATACTGTCGTTGATATGGATTATGCTTTTTATACGTAGTGTCCGCTGTTGTCTATCCTTTTTAAATAACAAGAATAGGCTCTTTTGTGATCTTTTACGACTTAGATTCTTACCATCCATTCGCAAGAAGCGCTTTGCTTTTCACTTCCTGGTGCTTACAAAGGAATGGAATACTCTGCCGGCATCCGTTTCCCGAAAGCTACTATCTAGAGCTATTCAGGTTAGAGTGAGTAGGCATTTATCGTCGCTTATCATCGAGTAATATTGTGGTCAAGCCTTTGTCTATTTTACATTTAAAAAAGTTTCGTATTTCAAATTTACCTGTATCAAGTATGCCTGACTTACAGCCTCGATTTGTGGAGCTAAATTACCATTTTTATTAAGAACATCTGCTTGATCTTATATTTAAATTGTCCTGGCCTTCAACCGTCTATGAATCACGCAAGTCAACGACTTGGTTCTGGCAGATGTAGAGTTCTGCGTACTTAAGTGTGAATAGAACAAAAAAAAATATTATTTGTTTTCTTGATCGCATAAAAAAATACAAACGTTTATGATTTTTTTTATTTGACTTTATTTTTTACATAAGCAAATTACCATCGGCACACATTATACTTGAAATCCTAAAATTGATTTGACTCTACGTGAGGCATCCCCTGAGAAAAATTAGTAACAAACTCTAGTGTTTATTCGTTGTAAATGGACATTTGTTCATCATTATGGACATGTAATAAAGATACACGTTACCTACTTATAAGAATTAATCCTCAAATCCCTTTCGATTGGCCTCATAAAAATACAAGATGATTTTTTTCACATTTGATCGGTGCGATTCCAGATTTGGCAATTAGGCAAGCAATGTTTTAAAAATACTTATATATACTTTTTTATACTCCTGTACTTGAATCTGTCAATTATAATTACATGAACCATATCACAAAGGCGCAGAATTCTATTGTCTATGGTACTCGCTAGTAAGTGAAAAATTTCATTAAACTGTACACGGAACGCCGGAAAAAAAAACAGAAAAAAAGAACGTCGTATTTTTGTTATATAACTTAAATATGACGCTACTCAAACGTTCTACTGCTTCCTGATTGGTTAAATTGGCCTAAAGGTCTTGCAATAGGGCCTGAAACCTTTATAAAAAAAGATTGGTTAAAATAAACGGTACTTGACTACTTCTATTCTATCTCTTTGATTTTTGTTTTGTGGCGGTTTGGCTTTCGTTTGACATGTCATGGATAGTTAACAAACATACATTAAAATTAAATATTGGTTGCGTTTCATTATTTTATTATTCGTAGAAAAAGTATTATATTACATTATGCAATCATTACATAATTAGATCTTAAAATGTCGTACCTATTACTTAAGCCACTCGGCAGTACTCGAATTTAAGAACCGTCATTATGCAACGATTGCATAAAATACTTACTACAAAAAATTTGTAATAAAATAAATACAAATAAAATAACGTCTCCTTGAAGGGAAATATCCTATCTACAATTTAAAGAACTTTCCCTCCGTGTCCCATAGCCGTCACACGCCCTGTATTGTTATAATAAATAACTATTTATTTTACAACATCAAAAGTAAAAACAATCTCAAAGAGCTAAAACGGATTACCCCAATGGATTTTCGCCATCCAAGAACGCAGAAGTACTCCTAGTTTTTTCTTTTATTTTAACGCGACACACTCATAACCCCGCTCTAGGGAAATCCTATATCGCGGGTGCCATGAATATACACATAGACAACCACAAATTAGACCCAAGCTCATGAGAGAAATAAATATAGGCCGTCCAAATATTAAGATATTAAGAACCTGGAACCTCTGCGTTGGCAGTCCTACATGGTTCGGCCAAGGGGGCAGTGAAGCCACACGTGAGCGTCTATTCTCCTGTTAAACTCGTGATCTAATAATATCTTTAAGGCCGTCCGTTACCACGGTCCTATAATTTATTTATACCACAGGTCAGTCGGGGAATTCCATTCCTGAGCTGTGCGTGTAATAAAAGATGACGAAAAGAGCTTGGTGCTCCTGAAGGGAATATAGACCAAGCAGTGCTTTAGTACCGAGTTGTGAAAAGTAAATTTTTTATTGCACTGAGCGAATTGATGAGCGAGAAAAACTAAAATATCAAGTAAAACTTTGTATTTTGAATGTAATTAAATTTTAATACGCAATACTCAGACTTTAGAACACAGTTCTGTACCTACTGATATGTTTCTTTCTTAGTATTTGCCGAATGTCCGAACTAAAACTCTAGCGGTAGAGCTCCTTGTGAAAGAGTTCGTCCTGGGAAGTCATCGACATTATA